GAGTCTGGATCCAGACCCAGCGCTGCGCCACATTCGACCGACAGATGTCTGGTCGGCTGCGGTGCACCGCCAATACCCTTGCACCGTTGACGAATGGCTTAACTGCCAGAGGAAGATTGGCAGATGCAGCTCCTGTCGGCACTTCCCTGCGCCCCTCGGCACCCGTCGCACCAATACCTCCAGAAACGCGAGAAAACTGGGCGGACGCTGTCTCCCTCGCCAACGACCAGCGCCCCCATGCATCTGCAGCGCCGGCGCCCATTGTCAAGCCTGCAGGGCGTCGCATCCATGGCGGCGCCCCCAGCGCGCGCACGATGGCCCTCGCGTCGCCGATGATATCTGCCAGGGCAATCGAAAAAGAAAGGGCGTTTGTCGGGGGGGGCGCGGACGCGCACCCCCACCCGGCGGCTGCGTCGGCGAACCCGCGCCCGAAGCCCAAGATTGCCGTGCAAAGGGCGGCTGGGTAGACTGCTGACTGGGTCGTCAAAAGACTGGCGTTGTTGCCTCCCCGCAATTTCCGACACTAACGATCGCCACTGCAGCGCATGGAAAGATCAACACCCAACGTCCGTTAGGACAGGAGATCCGCGGCCGCGCAGCCCTGGCCCGCCTGGCCGCGGCCTCGGGTTGAACCGCTGCCCCGAGCCCCCCTCCGCGAGCAACTATTGACAGACGCGGGCCTGGCCGACCGTCACAAGCACCGGGGTTTGCAAGGGGCGGGCGACGTTCGGGTCGCAGTCCGACTCGCTGGCGCGGAAGGCGCGCGAGCATCGGAAGGGTGAATCGCCGCGGCTTCCAGGGCGCGGGGCTGAAGTTCAGCCAGTCGCGCCGCGAACGCCTGAGGCCCCACCGCCACGCTCGCGGCATTTACCCGCGCCCCAGCGGCCAGACCGCCCCGACCAGGACGCGGCGCCAGGAGCAAGCCAGCGAATGCCTGATCGATCTCCTCCTTGGTCACGCAGGTCAGCCGCTGCCGCGTGGCACACCGAATCGAGCGAGACGTAAAAATAATCGAAGCCCGACAACTGCCCCACTTCGTGGGGCACCCCCTTTCGATCAACCAAGACGTCGGCAACGGGTCGACGCTGTCTCATCTCGGATGCCCCCCCACCAACGCCCGAAGAATTCACTCGACGCCATGGGCGGGGCGGCGCGGCGCGGAGCCCCGGACGCAAGGACCCCGACCATCCCGCCGTCTCCTCGGAGAAGCGGAAGCGCACGAGGCACGCGTTCGCTCGGGGGCCCAAACCAGCTAGAACGCCCGGGAATTTCGCGGCTGAGCCTCTCTGCGCGGCAGCCTGCGCCCGCGGCGGCTGCGACGATGACGCAGCGCCCCTGTCCTTGAGCTTATCCGTGTCGCCCATGTTGCCCCTGCCTCCTCCATTACCTCCCCCTCCCTTCTCGCCTGTTCCCCCTCCCTTCGCGATGCCTTTCTCATTGGCGGCGGCGCCATTTCCGATGGCCCTCCTCTTTCTGGATGGAGCCCGCCGCCAGGGGCCCTGCACCCCTCGGGCGCGCGTTCCGCGCTCCCGCGCGCGACGCGCCCGTCGATCAGACCGCCGTTGGCATCGCGGTCGGAAATCCGTCGCGGCGGGACCAGCAGCCGACGCCCCTCGGACACGCGCCCTCGCCCCTCCAACGAGTGCACGGTCGCGCCCGCGAAAACGTCGCGAAGCCGCGCTTCGCCCCGCCCACCACAACTCCCGCCGCGACTTCCGTCGGCGAAGTGCCCGGGCGCGCAGCGGCGGCGCGTGTCTCCTCGGTTTCCTTCTCGCCCTTCGCTCTTGCACTCTGCGCCTCCGCCACTGGTGGCGCTGGGTTAGCGCCGAGGCGGCCGTTGACGACCATGGCACCCAGCTCTCCCACTGCGAACTGGTCGATCGCTCGTAAACCCTCGCGGGCCAGATTGCGCGGGTAGCCCCGCTGCTGCCCGACGCTGGGCCGCTGGGGCCGAAAGCCGAAGTCGTCGGCCTCGAACGCCCTGGAGTAGATCAAACGCGCTCCTCGATGCAGCTGCCCCAAACTGGGCAACGCCACGCCGATGTCCACGCGTCCTCCGCAACTCCCCGAGAGCCGCCGCCAGGTCGCTGCATGGGTTCGGGCAGCAGAGCTGCCCGTGCAAGTGACCCCCCTCGCCCATGGGAGCTGGGATGCAGGGGGGGGGCAAGATCTTGAAGAGCAAGTCCACTGCGCGCACTTCAACTTCGCGAACTCTCTCCTGCGCCGCTGCGCCCATGAGCTCAGATGAAACTGCGGGCAGAAGATCCGGCGGGAAACTGTACCCGGTCGGCCCAAACCTTCGCGGCAAGACGTCCTCCACGCGAAGATGGCCCTCTGCGCGATTGGCGTCTTCAGCCAGATGTCGCGCCGGCGGCCTGCCCGGCTGCTGCGCCACTCCACAAGTCGACGACCGCGCGCGGGGTCGTCTTGAGCTGCGTCTCCGTCGCCGCGCGCCAGAGACTTCGCCTGCCCCCGCGAGAACTGGGATCGCCGATCTCCATCCGTGGGAGTATACCCATCGTTGGCAGCAGCTTTATAAATAAACTGAATTCAGACGCGTTGAACTCTTCGCCCAACTGGCCCAAGCGGGGCGGGCGCCCATCCGCAGCCGGAGCAGTCGCGGCGCTGGGGCAGGGCGGCGCCGAGCCAGAGTGGACCCCCACTGCCCACGCACGCGGCCGCGCGCAGCCGCCGCTGCGCTGGAGAGACCACGCGCTCCAGCGAGAGTTCCGACAGCGCGTGCCCGAGGCGGTCTGGCACATAGTCCCCCGCCTCGCGGGCACCGGCCGAGTGCACTCGCGCGCCGAGCCACGTTGCGCGCGCGCGTCGCGGAGCAGCGCCCACCACGCGTTGACCGCTTGCATTGAGTCTCGTCGATGGTGGCCGGCCCTGGTTGGAGGTGACGAGTCCGCGCCGTCTCTGCGGGCGTGAAGAAGTCGACAATCCGCCGATCCACCCAGCTCCCCGGGGCCCTCGCGCCGGGCGAGGCAACGACCTGGATTGCCACTGAGACTACCTCGACCTCAGACTAGGGGTGCGGACGGATCCCGAACGATGGAGAAGACGACGTCGCAATCGCCCGCCCGGGGCTGGAACTCGGCAGAGGGCGAAGGCCCGAAGGGGCCACGTGCATCAGCTCCAATTGCAAGTACTTGTTTTAACGGGTGTTGTTGCGCAAGCTCTCCTCGAGCGCGGCCTCGCCGCCCTGCCCCCGCGGGGTGGCGCTCCCTGCTGCGATCCCGAACTGACGGGCCCATGCCAAGACCTCCTCGAATACTTGCTCCAACTCTGCCTGCTCACCTCGCTGCCCTCGGTCCCGCTGCTCGCCCACTGCGTGCCTTTCCACGTCGCGATTCTTCAGTTGGCGCACCCTCGCTGAAACATCTGCAATATTGTCGGCCCGCTGGGAAAAAGCCACCTGGGTGGCGGCCAGCGCCTGCTCGATCGCCTCCATTTGCTACACCGCGTGGCTGTTCTGAACGCCATGCTCTCGTCGCATCTTGGCGGCGACCATGTCGATGACGCCCTTCAAGTCTCCAACTGAGCCTCAAATTCCCCCCCCGCTATCAACCGAAGAGAGTCTGTCCGACTGCAAGGTTGCATCCTCGGCTCCTCGAGGCCCCGCGGCCTCTGCCAGGTCTGGGGCGCTCTCGAATGAAGATGGTGGCCCGGGTTCGCTGGCCGCTGCTGGAGGACTCTGAGCAGCAAACGCAGATTCGCTGGCCGATGCCGCGCCGGCATTGGCAGGGGCGCCCAACGCGCCCTTCTATCAGAGCGCGGCGCCTTAGGCAGCGCCACGTCTGCTGCGCAGACTTCCGAAGGTTGCCCATGCACAAGCAGTCACCCCGACGCGAATGCGGATTATTTGGCCGCGCTTCTCGGCGTGGTCAGCTAGGCAGTGGCCTGCTCCCGTGGCCTCTTGCAGGTAGCCCATCTGCAGCCTACGAGGCGGTTCCTCGCTACGGGCACGTCAAACTGGAGCAACGATCGACAGACGTGGGTTCGGTCGCCCGCCGCCCGCGCTGGACTCGCCTGGGGTCGTTGCGCCTTGGTGGCCTCCTGGGGCAATGGACAGAGGCGGTGGGAGGTGAAGCGGCCGTTGTGGTCCTGGCTGGGGCGCTTGAGCTGGCTCTGGGTTCGCTGGTTTTCCTGCGATGGCCAGCAGCGCTGGAGAGGCTGCGCCTACAGACGCCTGCGCCCCAGCAGTCACGCCACGGAACACTGCAGAAGTGCCACTGGCGAGCATCGCGCCCGAGCTGCCAATCAACAAACCTATCGTGCTGAGCGCCCCAAGTGGTCGTGATCGCCGCGTCGGGCCACAGTTTTCATTGACTGACAAAAAACAGAGGCAGTTGGCGGATGCCGTGTTTCTACTCTGCGTTCAGCCAATGCGTCTTCAGGGCTGAGATCTGAAATCACACATTCACCTTCTCTTCACCCCCACCCGCATTTATCTGGCGGGCACGCACAAAAGGGTAGGGGGAGGAAGGCTTCTTAGGAGGCTGCTTCTCAGAAGGCGCCAGCCCTATGCCTATTGGTAAGGCCAGCACCTTCTAGAAGCAGGGGTGCTTCTAAGCAGCCCCCCCGTACTCCTCCGCGCGTGGCCGAACAAGAGTGAAGCCATGGTGCGCCCACGCCACCGCAGTACGTGCCCCTGCCCGAGCCCCCTGCCCGAGTCCACGTCTGCGCGTGGCCGAATGTCGCCCCCCCCCCTTGCGTTGTGGATGCCATGACAGTGGGCACTCGAACAATCCGATCATTGCATTAAACATGTGTTTAAAAGGTGTAAAGCATGTTCTAAGCATGGCTGGAACATGTGTTCTACATGCTCGGAACATGTTCGAAACATGTTCTAGACATCTGGCAAGTATTTGGCAACATGTTTCCTCTCCATTGATCGTCCTCCACAACCCTTGCGCAACGCCCGACTGACGGAGGGCGCCGCCACCCCGGCGCGGCGAATCGTTCCCCCAAGTCCGCGCGGTTGGCGCCCGCCCGGCCTGGCGCACCCACAGCGCTGGGGGGTCCTCGCCCTCGCCCGCCTCGCTCCTGGGGGGGGGGCGGAGGGGAGGAGCGGTGCCGCGAGGCCCCCGCAAACGTTGCCTGCTCCTCCCGTCCCCCATCGTGCCCTTCCTCCTCCTCGTCCTCGTGTTCGTCCTCGCCCCTCCCACTCCCCCTCCCCCTCCCCCTCCCCCATCCCCCTCCCCCCCCCTTTTCATCCTCGTCCTCCTCCTTCGCCTCCTCCTCCTCCTCCTCCTCCTCCTCCTCCTTCGCCTCCTCCTCCTCCTCTCCTCCTGCCTCCTCCTCCTATTCCTCCTGCTCCTCCTCCTACACCTCCTGCTACGCCATCTGCTCTAGTTCCTCCTCCTCCTCCTGCTCCTCCTCCTCCTCCCCTCCTCCTCCCTCCTCCTCCTCCTCAATCCTTCCCTTCCCTTCCCTTTCTCTTCTCTTCCCTTCCCTTCCCTTCCCTTCCCTTCCCTCCTCTCCTCCCTCCTTCCCTTCCCTTCCCTCCCTCCCTCCCTCCCTCCCTCCCTGCCTCTCTCCCTGCCTCTCTCCTCCCTCTTCACTCCTCCCTCTCTCCGGCCTTGGCGCAGCGCTGGTCGCCCGAGGCGGACCGCGGCGGAGCGGCGTGCTCAGGCCGCGCGCGCCCAGGCGCGGGCGACGCAAGCCTTGCTGCGGGGCGTCGCGGCACTTCAGCATCGGGGATGCCGCCCGACGCTCCTCGGGGCTGACCTCGGCCACGCGCTCGTCATGGGCCTGCGAGGCGGTGAGGATCGGTGCCTGCGAGACCCGTGGCGCGGGCGGCGAGGGCGGCGCTGCCGGCGAAGCGGCTGTCGGGAGCGCCTCCGGTGCTGCAGCGGCCGTGCCGTCGTACCAGCCGCTGGCCATGGCGTCAGCGAAGTTCTTCCCGCAGGTGATGCTGCAGTGGTGTCGCGCCCCGCGCCCCGCGCCCCGCGCTCCAGGAGAGCCCCATACGTGGCGCTGGTGTCCTGGAAGGGAGCACGCGCGCCGCCGCCACAGTGGCTACGGTGCAGCAGTCCGCGGCTTCGAGTGGGAAGGGGAAGGCCCGAGCCCCCCGACCTCAGCCAGCTGCCTGTCGCCCAGGGCCTCGACTTCAGCGGCGGCTTTCGGCGGGTGGCGCGGCCAGCTGGCAGTGGTCGCCCCAGAGGAGCAGAACGCGGCGACTTGGGCTCGCCAGAAGTTATCGCCTCACGTTTCTCTGATGACAGCGGTATAAGCAGCAATACAAGTTGGTGGTTATTTTCGCCCAAACATGTTGTTTTGGCCCTCGTAAAGTCAACGCCTCTTTATGGCAGCATGTGTGCGGTCTTGGCAATAGTTCGGCTGAGCCTTGCCCAGGCCCGCTGCTCAAGTAAGGCAGACGACCACCAACGTTTGTTCTTACACCTGGCGTTTTATATACTCTGCTGTGCGTGGGGAAGAAACCCGTGTCTTGTTAGGTTTATCACGCACGCTTCTTACACATGTAGTGGGGCTGTATGTTTACATTGTGCCACCTTTGCATTGTCATCAACATCATGTGGTGCTTGACCAGTGTTTGTAAAATTGGTTGAAGGTGACTGGCCGTCTTTTCGAGTACATTATCCCGTTTCCTGGCATCGGCCATTGGAACGACATGAGCGTCGCGCGCAATATGGTGAACGGATACTTTGTCCTGAACTGGGGCTTCCTGGTCGTCTCGGCCTCCGTCACGGTCAAGGGGTAGAGTGCTCCAGTAGACCAGATATCGTTTCTCGATCGTTCCGGCTCCGAGTATGATTCCCTCCTCCCTCTTCCCTCCTCCCTCCTCCCTCCTCCCTCCTCCCTCCTCCCTCCTCCCTTCCTGCCTCCTCCCTCCTCGCTCCGCGCTCGTCGCTCGTCGCTCGTCGCTCCTCGCTCCTCCCTCCTCCTCTTCCTCCTCATCCTCCTCCTCATCCTCCTCCTCGTCCTCCTCCTCCTCATCCTACTCCTCCTTTTTCTCTTCCTTTTCCTCTTCCTTTTCCTTCTCCGTTTCCCCCTTTTCCTCCTTGTCCTCCTCCTCCTCCTTGTCCTCCTCCTCCTCCTCCTCCTCCTCCTCCTCCTGTTCCTCCTCCTCGTGTTCCTCTTCCTGTTCCTCCTCCTGGTCCTCCTCCTGCTCCTCCTCCTCTTCCTCCTCCTCTTCCTCCTCCTCCCCCCTCTTCCTCCTCCTGTTCCTCCTCTCATGTTTCCCCTCCCTGCTCCTGGCTCCTGACGCCCACTTACAAACGAAACCACCCCCACCCAGGGCCGGACGGCCCCGGGGCGGCCCGAGGGGGGGGGGGACTCTAGTGAAACAGCCAGGTCACGCGCGTGACCAGCTCTGGCGAGGAGAGGTGCCCTGCAGCGGCGCGCTGCGGCACGCGGCGGGCTCCGTGGCCGAGGGGGGGGGGCCCGGGTTCGAGGGGAACGAGGACGAGCGGAGAACACAAGAGGAGAGGCGGGAGAGGGGAGCGAGAGGAGGGATCGCTCGACTACACGCAAGAGTGACCCTGGGTAAGAGTGACTTTTCGTGCGCGGCATTTGGGGGGCCGCGCGGGGGCCAAACACAAGCGCGCAAGACGCTAGTGCCCCATCGCTCTCGGCAGTCGGGGGACCCCATTGGGCCCGCACCAAAGGTCACTCCGGCGAAAGGTCACTCTTACGTGTGGCCGAATCGCCCGAGTCTCAGAGCCCGAAAGCCCCCCGGGGAGGGGGGCACCGGAGGGGGTGCAGGCCACGGACGCTGGTCTCCGAGAGTTGCGGCAGGGTCAGTCTCTTCGTCCGGTTCCTGGATCGCCATCCCCCCCCCCCCACCTCCACCTCCAGCAGCGGCCGCGGTGGACAGTCTTGCAGTCCGCCTGTGCTGTGTGGTGTTGTCATCGACTGTCTTGGGGGCCGCTGCGACCGTGGCCCTATAGCCACGGGCAGCCCGTGGCCGAACTCCTTCTCTGGGCAGCCGCGGCGGCGGCAGCGGGTTGCAACGCTGCCTGTTGCTGTGCGCGCGCAGGTGAAGGGAAACTGGGACACACAAATAAATACACACAAATAAAAAGATTCCCCATATTTCCCTATATTTTCTGGGTTTTTGTCTTCCCCCCCACTTCCCATATTTTCCCATATTTTCGGGGAAATCAACGATTAATTGTGTCTGGAAGGAAGTGGGGCAGGGGGAAGACACGATCGAAGCGAGAGAGAGAGAGGGAGGCTGGCTGCGGCCCCGCCGGTCGTCGCTCCTCTGCGCGACGGCGACGCAGCGCTATCGTTTGTTAGCGCCTCCTAGAAGGCAGCGTCACACCTATCGTAGGGGAGAGAGGGGTGCGCAGACATCTCGGCGCCTCGCTGGGCGGCTCGCGGGGGGGGGACTTTGTCCGCAGTCTTCGCTGTGGCAAAGCTGCCCCGCGATAGCGGTCGGGAGGGGCTGCCGGGCATGCCGCGCAGCCTGGTCCCGCGGCCACTCTCCCGCCGCTGGCGCCGTGAGCCGCGCTGCCAGGGAGTTCCCGGGTGGGCCCGAGGAGAGGGGGAGAAAAAAAGCGCAGAGCGACGATCTGGATCGTCGTAACCGCAGGCGTCGTCGTAGCCGTAGTCGCATCGAACTGGAATCTGGATGACTATGTACTTTGTCTGCCCGGTCTGGTTCTTGCGGCAGCGGCTGGCCTGAGCGGCGGCGGCGGTTCCGGGCACGCCGCGCGTCCGGATGCCATTGCCCTTCCTGGCTGCATATCCCTCGGAGGCGTCGCGGCAGGCTGCTGGAGACCCTCTCGCGGAGGTCAGTCTCGAAGCAGTACTACCCCTGTCGAGGTTTTTCGTGTCGCGGCGTACCTCCCCTGTGGAGGTTAGCGCGCCCAGCCTGTCGCCTGCTGCGTGACCCCCCACCCCTGTCGCGGGCCAGGCGAGGGGGCCACGCCCCCGAGTCGGGGAAAGGTTATCTCCTGAAACTCCACCTCCACCTCCACCTCCTCCTCCTCCTCCTCCTCCTCCTCCTCCGCCTCCTCCTCCGCCTCCTCCGCCTCCTCCTCCTCCTCCTCCTCCTCCTCCTCCTCCTCCTCCTCCTCCTCCTCCTCCTCCTCCTCCTCCTCCTCCTCCCACCCGTGAACATGTTGCAGCACACGTGCCTCCTCCTCCTCCCCCGCCATGGGCCACCTGTCCTTCCGCTCCCCCCCCCATCCTTCTGCTCCTCCTCCCCCTCCAAGCCCGCGCGCAAACGGGCGCGGGAGCCCGCGAGGGCGGGAGCGCGCGCGCGGGGCATGGGAAGAGGAGGGCGAGGACGAGGAGGAGGAGGAGGACGAGGAGGAGGAAAGCAGGAGGAAGAGGAAGGGAACGAGGAGGAGGACGAGGAGGCCAAGAGGGAGGACGAGGAAGAGGAAGAGGAGGACGAGGAGGAAGTCATTAGGTAAGGTAAGGCTCCACTGAGACCGATGCTTCAACGATCTGGGGAGAAACTTGGGGTGCCCCCTCCAAAACCTGCCCCCGCCCGGCAACTCCACGATTGCAGGGCGCCAGCGACGGTGCCTTGCAGCAGACGCCGGCGCACGGCCGTGGATCGTCCGCTCTGCTGCGCAGCCACCCGAAGTATTCCTGAGAAATCAAGCCCTCGCCATCGCTCGGACGTCCATTCCCTGTGTTTTGTTGGTTTCGTGCGTGGTTTTTTCGCCAAATGATCAAGGATGCTACTCGATGGTCCTCGCCGAAGGAGAAATGTACACGTCCGAGCGATGCCAAGAGCCTCGCCCCTCCAACTCAAGGTAGCCAGCGGGCCTCAGACCCGTGAAGACAGCCTTCTGTCGAAGAGACACAATGTTGCACGATGGTGGACTCGAGCACTGGGTCACTGATCGCAACCATGAGCCTGCGAATCCTAGCCTAATGCATCTTCCCGGCACGAAGCAGCTTGACAAGGAGCTGGGACTGCAAGACGAGGAAGAGGAGGAGAAGGAGGAGGAGGAGGAGGAGGAAGAGGAGAGAAGGAGGAGGAGTAGGAGGACGAGAAAGAGGAGGAGGAGAATAAGTTAACGGCGCGCAAAGGACCCCACCATGCTCGTCGGCCGCAGCAGGCTATCTCGCATCCTCGGGGGCCCCTCCTCGTCCGAGGAGCGACCGGCCCGGGGGGGGGGGCTCACGGACGGGGACGAGAGACCCACGGACGGAGGGCGTTGCTCCCCTGGGGGGGCGACGGGTGCGGAGGGGGCGAAGAAGAGGTGCACCGCTCGTGCCCAATCGCGGGCCCCATCGCGGGCCCCCCTCGGCGGTGGACAAACCTCCCTTCAGTGGACCTCCCCCTAGTGAAGACGGCCTGGGACCGGAGCCGACGGACCGGGACCCGCAGAAAGGACGGCCGCGGCGCCCCTCTCGCAAACCGAAAGCGGCCAAGTCCTCGCTCGACGTGTCAGGGTAGGAGGTCTGTCCACCCCCGACCCTCTTAATTCAATGGGGCCCCATCCAGGAGCACCTTGTTCTTCACCCTCCTGAAATGCTCTTGGCGGCGCGCACCGGGGGGGCGGGGGGGGGAGGGCTTCTGAGAGGGAGGCTGCGTCTCAGAAGGCGCCAGCCTCAGCTCCGTAGGTATGGCCCACGCCTTCTAAGAAGCAGGGATGCTTCTGAGAAGCCTCCCCCCCTGCCCCTACCCCACTTTGGCGTGGCCGAACAAGAGTGAAGTCATGGTGCGCCCACGATACCGCAATACGTGCCCATTCCGGAGTCCCCTGCTCATCCGACCGTATAAGCACATCTGTCACTACGGTAAGCGTCCCCTTGAAGTCCAAGGAGGGCTGAGGATGAAAAACCGGTCATGGGGGAGACGTCTAGTGGTCCACGTTGTGGGAAAAACGCAACGTCGGGGGGATCTAAACTTTCAAACGTTTTTGTATATTTTGGGCCTACGGAGGCTTCGCCGGCCTCTGGAGGCCTGCGGGGACCTCCAGAGACATGCGGGGACCTCAGACCTCTGGCGGATTCACTGTTTGAACCTCGGCGCTTGTCCGGCAATTCTGGGGTCTGGGGGCCATGTCTTGTGCCGAAATGCGCGTCGGATCCAACGGCGCCGCCATCCCTGGCGGTGGCAAGATTACGACGACGACGACGACGACGACGACGACGAGGACACCAGCGCAGAGGGGGGAACGAACAACGAGGCGGCAGGGGATAGGACACCCAGGCAGGCTACGCCCCTCCTGTGCTGACTCCCGCCGATCTGACTCCGTTTTTTGCAATTCGCGCCACAGACCCCTCGACCAGTTCCCAGGGGCCAGCTGCTCGCCCCCGGGCCCGGCTCTGATGGCCCCGGGGCCCGGCGACGGGCCCCAAGGCCCGAGCTCGACGAGAACAGCAAAATCCGCATCGAACAAAAAAAAGCATCGAACAGACGTCGTCGTCGTCGTCGTCGTCGCCGTCGCCGTCGCCGTCGTCGTCGTCGTCGTCGTCGTCGTCGCCGTTGTCGCCGTCGTCGCCGTCGTCGCCGTCGTCGTCGTCGCCGTCGTCGTCGCCGTCGTCGTCGTCGTCGTCGTCGTCGCCGTCGTCGTCGCCGTCGCCGTCGCCGTCGTGGTCGTCGTCGTCGTCGCCACTCGAGGAAGAAACGCCCCAGTCCAGCAGCAGAGATCCTGGCCATCGCTCGGACGCCCATTCCCTGTGCCCCTTTCGGTTCCGTGCGTGGCTTTTTTGCCAGATGATCAAGGATGCTCCTCGATGGTGAAGGAAACATGCACACGTCCGAGCGATGCCAAAAGGAGCACGCCGTTGGGCCTCCGTGCGGCCCAGCCTGCGAGGGCCCGCGCCTCCGCGAGTCATAGAGGGCGGAGATGCCCCCCAGGGGGGCTCTCGGCACGAGGCGCCCGCGCGGCTGCCCCGCGCCGCGGCAAGACGGATCCAGAACGAGGACTACAGTCAAAAACCCTAACTAATAAGGACGCGCGGTAAGGACGCAAGACCCTTGGAAGCCGAAGTTGGGATTTCTGGGGCGGCGGACGACGAAAACCCCAAGACGAAACCAAGGAAGGACGGAGACGCAAGAGCAAGGAAGAGCAAGGACGCAAGGGTACCCTGAGCAAAGTCGCGCGTCCTTATTAGGGTTTTTGACTGTAGGAGTCAGGTCGGGCCTGTCCCCCATACAAGCGGATTTTGGGCGAACAATTAAAGTATAGTCGAACATACATCAAACATCAGCAAGAATAGCGTTAAAGCCAACAAAAAAATCGTCCCCTGACTAATGTTTGACTATATGGGAGTATTCCCCCTGTAGAGGGACACGCCCGACTTAAGATTAGAGGCCTCCCGGATGGGGTCCGAGCAGATGGGGTCGAAGGATCGCGCCGGATCGCCAATGCATCGCCGATGTGTCGGCGATGCATCGGCGACATCGGCGACGCAGCAGCGACGTCGGCGTGGGGAACATCTGGCTCCAAAACGAGCCGCATCGGCGATGCGTCGCAATCCTCCGACCCAATATACTCGGACCCTATCTAGGAGGCCTACAAGGATATAATCGGGTGAGAAGATGGGATCTGGGTCGAGAGATGGACGTCGCGTAACCCTGAGATCCGGGCGCCTCAATTTTTTCGAGCCGGGCGTTTTCACCTCACTTCGGGCCCCAGGACCCTCACAGATCGATCCGGCTCGAAAAATGGCGCAGAAAGATAGTGTCTAGGGCTCCAGCCATGACTCTTGACGATGTTGTATTTTTCGCCACGTCGGATCTCAGGGAATGGGGGGGCGAAGAGTGGAGGGCAGCGAGGGCTGCAGAAAAGGGGCCCTTCTGGGGCCCCTGACGGGGCCCTTTGGGGCCCACAAGGGGGCCTGTAGGGCCCGAGAAGGGCACCTGTCTTCCCTCCCCAATGCGTCGCCCCCCCCAGCAAGCGACGCCCGAGAGGGGGCGCGCACCCGCCGTCCAGCAGGTCCGTGTCGCGACGACCCTGGCGCTGGGTTCTGGCACCACGAGGGCGACAAAAAGAGAGGGTTCTCCTCCTCCTCCTCCTCCTCCTCCTCCCTCCTCCTCCTCCTCCTCCTCCTCCTCCTCCTCCTCCTCCTCCTCACCCTCCTCCTCCTCCTCCTCCTCCTCCTCCTCCTCCTCCTCCTCCTCCTCCTCCTCCTCCTCCTCCCCCTCCTCCTCCTCCTCCTCCTCGAGTGGTCGACCTCCGACAAAATCACTCCAGAGCGTCCCTGGAACGCTCTACGAGCGTGCTGGAGCGCTCTGGCACGGCCGCGGCGCCCGCGACATCCTCCAGAGCCGCACGCGACGTGGCAGAGCAACCTTATACACGGCGGCTTAAGCGGGCCGCCAGCGCGGCACGCCTACACTGGAGGCGAGGGCGCTCACGGGGGACCTTACGCGGGCGGCCGACGTGCCAATATCGGCGCAGACGACCCCGCGTATTCGCGTCGCTCACGACATGGATCGTTCAACCCTGAACGATCGGCGGCGTTTTTCTACCGCCAGATAAGTCCGAATGGACTGGCCGATTCTGGGCCACTGGCGGCGGTCAACCGTGACCGCCCGCGGCGGGGTCGCTGCCGCGTCGTCACGGCACAAACCCTACAGCGTATTGGCTGTCTTCGCTCTCTCTCTCTCTCTCTCTCTCTCTCTCTCACTCACCATCTGTCCCAGCTCCTGGCCACAACCTGTCCCTGGGCGTCGGTCATCGTCTCTATGTGCGGCGAGCCAGCGGCGGTGACCACGGTGAGGGCGACGTTGCGGGACCCCGCCGCGTAGTGTACGAGGAACCTGCGGGAGGGGAGGGAGGCGGCGGGGGAGTGAGAGGAGAGGCATTGACGCTCGAGGACCGAGGATCGAGGAGCATCGAGGACCGACGCTCGAGGATCGAGCGAGAGGAGAGGCATCGAGGACCGAGGATCGATAGTCGCAGATCGCGCCGCGTCGCGCGCCCCGGCCTGGCCGCGGCCCTCGGAGCAGCGCGCCCTGGCCAGGGCGCGCGACGCCGTCCCCGCGGGGGAGAGAAGCCGGAGGGGGGGCAGGGGGGGGGGGGAGCGAGAACGCGGGAGGCGAGCAGCGCGTGGGAGGGGGGGCGCGTCCGCCAGGGTGGGAGAAGCGTAGAAGAAGACGAGAAATAAGAAGACGAAGAAGAAGAAGAAGGAGAAGAAGGAGAAGAAGGAGAAGAAGGAGAAGAAGGAGAAGAAGGAGAAGAAGCAGAAGAAGCAGAAGGAGAAAAAGAAGAAGAAGAATAAGAAATAATACTAAAACTAATAATAATAATAATAAGAAGAAGAAGAAGAAGGAGGGAAATAATAATAAGAACAATAAGAAGAACACATACGAAGAAGAAGGAGAAACATAAGAAGAAGCAGAAGAAGAAGAAGAAGACACGCCATAAGCAAGCATACACGTTTAGCGCTCCGCGCGGATCTCTCGGACACCGCGCATCCAGGAAGGATCCGCGCGGAGCGCCAACAGTGCATGTCTATACGGCGTGATTGCTCTCCTTCGGAGGACGGGAGAAGCGAACAGGACGGCAGAGACAGCAGCGTTCGGAGGTCCGCGCGGGCTGCTCGCGTCGGCGCTGGCCCCCCCCACACCCCCCCGACGGCGGCCGCGGCGCGCTCCGCGCGCCGAGCCCGCGCGGCCTTCCGAACCGGAATGCTCGTGCCGCCCCTCCTTCTCCTTCCAGTAAGGCGGGATGACGATTAACAAAAGAAATGGGAGAGAGCGATTAAAAAAATAGCTTCCTGATAGTTCTGCACCATGTTCTGACTGGAGGAGAACGATTCAAAGAACAGTTTTCCATCCCGCGGCCGGTTTTTTCTAATCGTCATCCCGGGCGCCGCCGCGTGAACACGACCCCCGGTCATTTATTAATCGTCATCCTCCATTATCGGGGGGGGGGGGGGCCAAAGGGTGGGACAGCAAAGGGTACAGTCGAAACGCTGTCGTGAGGAGCCCCGAATGGGGAGCGAGGCCCCTGCTTTCCATACATGAAACTTCGACGTCCCATGAGAAGACCTGAGGGAACCCCAAGAAGAACTAAAAAACAATGAAGGAACCCTGAGGACCTCCCCAACGAAAAGGATTCCTTCTTCAGCGGCCCGACTGTAGGGTAAAGAATCAGCTCACGCAGCTGGCTTCCCCGGCGCCAGGCTGCGCCCATGTGTCGAGGAACGGGCCCGGCGGCGGGGCCGAAACTAGCTGGATGCAGCAGATGTCGTAACCCTATCCTTGTCCTACCCTTCTGACTGGCCCACCAACAGGAGGAGGCCTTGGGGGGCTGGCATAGGGGGCAGAAACATCGATCTGAAATCGGCAATACATCGCCGATAGATCGGCGATAGGCCATTGGGGGTCGACGCATCGCCGTTCGCCGGCAGGTCGGCGATAGGCGATTGGGGGCTGATACTTACATCGCCGATAGATCGCCAATCGACGAGCAGTGGGCGACTGAGGGTCGATGCATCCCCCCTGTGTCTATGCCCCCCCCTATCGTTGCCTGTGGGCTTTCGGGCCAGAGCTCGGCGCTCCAGCGGCCGTTTGGAACGATCCTGGCCACCCCGAACGCCATCGACGAGGCGCAGCTGCTGGAGAGCATCCCGAGGCTGGGAAACCGCCAAGAGCCGAGGAAAAGCGAAGAAAGCGTTGGAAAATCCCCTCCTCCTCCTCCATCCTCCTCCTCCATCCTCCTCCTCCATCCTCCTCCTCCCTCCTCCTCCTCCTCCTCCTCCTCATCCTCCTCCTCCTTCTCCTCCTCCTCCTCCTCCTCCTCCTGCCTATCCCCCCTCCCATCGTTGCCCCTAATTGGGGCCGCCTCGTGGCCCTTTTGGGCCGCACCGCCGGGGCCCCCAGAAGCAGAAAGACGGCCCAGCGCTCTGTCGTGGCCCCTCTACGGCGCGAGGCGGGGGGGGAGGCCGGTGCCCACCGCTCTGTCGTTGCCCCTGACCCGTGCAGCCCGACGACAGCGGTACAGTGCGGGCGCGGTCGCAAGAAGCTCGAAGATCGCTCCAGGACGCCCAGGATGGCCTCCCGACGGCCCAAGAGACAGCAAGACGCCCCAGGAGGGCTTCAAGAGGCGCCCCTAGAGGGCCCCAAGATGCCAATGTGATTGGTGAACGTTTTCTTATTCGGCGTTCCGACATTGCACCGAAGGGGGAGAGGGAGGGGTGGCTCTGGCTCGGGACCTTTGGATAGTGCCCCTGAAAGAAACCCGACCCTGAAAACTCGCGCGCGAGGTGCACCTGAGGAGAAACCCTGAGCACCCTGAACGCAGCAGCTTCTCTGACGGACGCGGGAATGCCCCGCGCAGCGTTCGGAGCGAAGACACGAAAGGCACCTTGGCGAAAGCGCCTGGCTTCTTGATGCGCGCCCCCACTGCAGGAGGCCTCCTCCTGGCTGACGGCGGCGGCGGCGGCGGCGGCGGCGCGGCGGCAGCGGCGACGACGACGACGACGACGGCAGCGGCTGCGGCGGCGGCGGCGGCGACGACGACGACGACGACGGCGGCGGCGGCGGCGGCGGCGACGACGACGGCGTAGACGACGGCGGCGGCAGTGGCGGCGGCGGCGGCGGCGCGGCGGCAGCGGCGACGACGACGACGACGACGACGGCGGCGGCTGCGGCGGCGGCGGCGGCGACGACGACGGCGGCGGCGGCGGCGGCGGCGACGACGACGACGACGACGACGGCGGCGGCGGCGGCGACGGTGACGACGACGATGATGACGACGGCGGCGGCTGCGGCGGCGGCGGCGACGACGACGACGGCGGCGGTGGCGGCGTTGGCGGCGACGACGGCGGCGGCGGCGGCGACAACGACGACGACGACGATGACGACGACGACGACGACGACGACGACGACGACGACGACGACGACGACGGCGGCGGCGGCGGCGACGGCGGCGCCGACGACGGCAGCGACGGCAGCAGCATTCTCCTCACGAGCACTTGGCACTGCGGACTTGTCTGCTTATCCAGCTGGAGCGTTCGTCCTCCTCCTCCTCCTCCTGCTCCTCCTCCTCCTACTCCTACCCCCATCAGCATCAGCATAGAAATCATAACCACCACCACCATCACTACCAGCAGCATCATCATCATCATCATCATCATCATCATCATCATCATCATCATCATCATCATCATCATCCTCATCATCAGCATCATCATCATCATCATCATCATCATCATAATCAGCATCATCATCATCATCATCATCAGCAGCAGCATCATAATCATCATCTTCATCATAATCAGCATCATCATCAGCATCATCATCATCATCAGCATCAGCATCGTCATCAGCATCAGCATCATCATCAGCATCACCATCATCACCATGATCATCATGATGGTCATCAGCATCAGCATCAGCATCAGCATCATGATGAGCATCAGCATCAGCAGCATCATCGTCAGCATCATCATCATCACTCCCATCATCAGCATCAGCATCGTCATCACCATCGTCAGCATCATCATCATCAGCAGCATCATCATCAGCATCATCAGCATCATCAACATCATCAACATCATCAGCATCATCATCAACATTAGTAGCATCATCAGAATCATCATCATCGTCATCGTCATCATCATTCTCCTCATCATCATCATGATCAGCATCAGCATCGGCATCAGCATCAGCATCATAATCAGCATCAGCATCAGCAGCAGCATCATCATCATAGTCAGCATCATCATCAGCATCATCATCTGCATCATCATCATCATCATCATCATCAGTAGCAGCATCAGCATCATCAGCATCATCATCATCTGCATCAGCATCAGCAGCATCATCACCACCACCACCGTCAGAACCATCATCAGCAGCATCATCAGCATCATCACCATCATCATCATCATCATCATCATCATCATCATCATCATCATCACCATCACCATCACCATCGCCATCCTCTTCCTCCCACTCCTCCTCCTCATCATAATCATCAGCATCGTCATCAGCATCACCATGTTCACCAGCACCAGCATCATCACCAACATCGTCATCAGCATCGTCATAATTATCATCATCACTATCATCATCAGCAGCAGCAGAATCATCATCAACAGCATCAGCATCATCTGCATCATCATCAGCATCACAGTCATCAACATGATCGTCAGTATCATTGTCGGTACCATCGTCATCATCAGCAGCATCACCATAAGCATCGCAAATAACAGCATCATCACCATCACCATCATAGTCGTCAGCATCCTCACCAACATCATGTTCAGTAGCATCACCAGCATAACCATAATCATCATCAGCGTCATCATGATACCCATCATGCCCAGCATCATCATCAGCATCATCGTCATTATCATCGTAATCATCAGTATCATCATCGTCCTCATCCTCATCATCATCATCATCATCATCATCATTATCATCATCACCAGCATCAGCATCGCCATCATGATCATGATAATCATCAATACCACCAAAATCAGTATCACCAGTATCATAATCATACCCATCATCCTCACCATCATCAGCATAATCATCACCATCATCGTCAACAGCATCAACATCGACATGCTCATCACCATCACCGTGACCATGACCATGACCATCACCACCACCATCATCATCAGCATCATCATCATCCTCGTCAGCATGATCGTCAGCATTATCAGCACCATCATCATCAAAGACATCAACATCATCCTCATGATGATCATCATTATCATCATCAGAATCCTCATCGTCATCCTCATCCTCATCAGTATCATCATCCTCATCCTCATCCTCATCCTCATCATCAGCATCAACATCATTGTCACCGCTTGTATCCACCATCCATCATCCAAAATCTACCGCCAACACGTCATCCTCATCCCCCTCCTCATTCTCCCCCTACCGTCCTCGTCCTCCTCCTCCTCCTCCTCCTGGGCCTCCTCATCCTCATCCGCATCCCCCGCTTTATCCTTCCGTCCTCCTCCTCCTCCTCCTCCTCCTCCTCCTCCTCCTCCTCCTCCTCCTCCTCCTCCTCCCCCTCCTCCTCTTCCTCCTCCTCCCCCTCCTCCTCCCCCTCCTCCCCCCCCTCCTCCTCCTCCGCAGGAGCGAACGGGCCACCCGCCTGCGATCGGCGATGGACACCCACGCGCAGGGTATCAGCGAAGTGCCCCCGAGGTCGTCGCTCGCCACCTGCTGGGCGGGAGGGCGCGCAGAGGGTGCACATGTTTGAAGGGGCCCCAGGACACACAAATAAATACACACACATAAAAAGATTCCCCATATTTTTCCATATTTTCTGGGTTTTTGTCTTCCCCCCCACTTCCCATATTTTCCCATATTTTCTGGGGAATCGACGATTAATTGTGTCTGTGTGTTTTTTCCCCTCCTGAATGTTCCGCGACCCCGCGGACACGGGGCGTTTCTGTTCGCGGATGCCCCGCGCGGAGCGTACCCGTGCGACCGCGTACCTGCGGGACCGCGCCCCGGCAGCCAGGCCGCGAAGGCGTGGAGACGGATGCGCCCGCGGCTCGCGATTCGCGGCCGCCCGCGGTAAAGAGAAGCCGGGACCAGGACAGGATCGGGCCAGGACGCCTCGAACACCTCTGAGATCCAGCGGTTCTGGAGGATGCCTTGGGCGCCGCGGCCTACCCATGGCGCCCCAGAAAGATCTGAGAGCGTTCCGCAACGACGCTGTGGAAGGGCGCATCCTGCTCCTGGCCCCGCCCGATGTGGAGGCTCCCTTTGGGTCCCCTGGGACCTTCGAGAGCCGATCTGGGATGGAGACCCAGCCAGGGTGGGCCGCGGGGGACGGACTTTGAGCGGATCCTGGTCCCTCCAAGACGTGCCCACACACCGCCACCACTTGTTCGAGGGAAACCAGCACTACCAGCACTGACAGAAACAGGAAACATCGGAGGTCCGCGAGGACTGCTCGGATCGGCGCTGGGTCCCCCCCTCCCTGGCGCGCGGAGCGCGCCAGGGGCGGCGCCAGAGGCGCCGCCAGGGGGCCCCAGCGCGGATCCGAGAAATCCGCGCGGACCTCAGAGTTTCTATGTGTATGTCATTGCTCGTTCCCCTGCTTTCCCAGGCAGCACTCATCAGCACCAAGCCTGGCCAGGTGGGGGGAAGGACGGGCAAGGACGGAGCTGGCTGCTCGTCCCATCCCAGTCCTGTTCCCCTGCTCTTCTGTCGTTGGCCACTTGCCAGGAGGGAAGGGAGGGGAGGGGAGGGGAGGGGAGGGGAGGGGAGGGGAGGAGGAGGAGCCTCCCCTCCCCTCACCTCCCCTCCCTTTCCTCCCCCTCTCCTCCCCTCCCCATCCTGGAGAGGGGGAATGAGTTGTGCCTTGGACTGTTGGTGGCGGTTTCAGCTCCCGGGAAACATTCGAGTCGATCTGGGAGGAGAACCTGGCCAAGAAGTCCATGAGGAACGGGATGGAAGGAGGGCACGGGAAAGAACGAGGAGGAGAAAAGGAAAGAGAGGGACGGGATGGATGCGAGGGGAGGCGCCAAAGAGGAAGGAGGGGAGGGGGAGGCGAGTGGGGAGAGACGTGTTTCCATCTTGCGACTGCTACTAAGAGGAGGAGGAGGAGGAGGAGGAGGAGGAGGAGGAGGAGGAGGAGGAGGAGGGGGAGGAGGGGGCCCGAATCCTCAACTGCCACAACTGCGAAACTGCGATGTCGACCGCTGCCAGCTACGCTCCACGAAGTCGGGCATGGAAGAACACCAACACTCGCATCCGATATTAGGCATGCACGTATGCACGCATGCCGTGAGCCATGGGGGACCATGGCAATGCCCTCTCCCCATGCTCGAAAAGATGCCACCACCATCATGGGGCTTTTCGCATGTGACCCTTCTGAACCCACGATGGATTCAGCGCTTGGTGAAACTGGGCCCTGGAGACAAGACATAATTATCAGAGTGAGGGGGACGAACGGTCATTCATTGTCCCTGGGTGCGTGGCTGAAAAGAAAATGTGTAGTGGAAATTATGTGTGTTGCATTGGTGGTGTTGTTGATATTGGTATTGGTGGTGTTGGTGTTGGTGTTGGTGCTGGTGGTGGTGTTGGTGTTGGTGTTGGTGTTGGTGTTGGTGTTGGTGTTGGTGTTGGTGTTGGTGCTGATGTTGGTGTTGGTGTTGGTGTTGGTGTTGGTGTTGGTGCTGGTGCTGGTGCTGGTGTTGGTGTTGGTGTTGGTGGTGTTGGTGGTGTTGGTGTTTTTGCTGTTGTTGGTGGTGGTGTTGTTGGTGTTGATGTTGTTGTTGTTGTTGTTGTTGATGTTGGTGTCGTTGATGTTGTTGTTGCTGTTGGTGTTGTTGTTGTTGGTGTTGGTGTGGTTGTTGCTGTTGGTACTGCTGTTGTTGGTGTTGTTGTTGTTTGTGTTGCTGTTGTTGCTGTTGTTTGTTGTCGTCGTCCCACCCGCGACCCACCCGCGACACACCCCGCGACCCACCCCGCGACCCACCCCGCCACCCACCCCGCGACCAACCCCGCGACCCACCCCGCGACCCAACCCGCGACCCACCCGCGACCCAACCCGCGACCCATCCGCGACCCACCCGCGACCCAACCTCGACCCACCCCGCGACCCATCCGCGACCATCCGCGACCCATCCGCGACCCACCCCGCGACCCACCCGCGACCCACCCCGCGACCACCCCGCGACCCAACCCGCGACCCACCCCGACCCAACCCGCGACCCACCCGCGACCCCCACCTCGACCCACCCCGCGACCCATCCGCGACCCTCCCGACCCATCCGCGACCCATCCGCGACCCCACCCGCGACCCACCCCGCGACCCACCCTCAAGGGAGGAGAAACCACCCAGACCCGATAATCGACGTTTACTAAACGGCCTTGTGCGTTTACTGAACAGCCCTGCCCTGTTCGATTCATTCCTTGCGCGTTGTTTACACGGCTTCGCTTGTCGGAGTGATTATTATGGGGTGGACTGTCTGCCCTCTACACCCGCGACCCACCGGAGACCTACACAAATTGTTTTAACGAAAAAATCGGAGCCTGCGGCGGGCTCGTTGTATACTTTGTGACACTTTGGCGCCTGCGGCGGGCTTCTCCAGAGTCTCTCAAACTGCCGACGTCTCCTCCGCCCCCTCACTCTTGTCCGCATCTGCGGGGTGATGCGTATTAAGGTGGAGGCCTCCGTAGCCATTTTGGCTCAGGCGACCCGAATTGCGCGGCTGCAGCCAGACGGGTCCCGCCGGGACGCCCCGCGAGCACGATGGCCCTGGCATGCCCAATGCCTGGAAGGGCCCACCACGGGCTATGCGGATTGTAAGGAAGTCGGTCGGACCCGTCATGCACCGAAGGCCAGTCGCTCCTCCCATCGCAGTCTTCAAGAAACATTATAGTAGTAAAGCCGTGCTGTCTTGACCGCTTCCGCCCTCTGGCAGGAAGTCCGCAAAGTCCAGGCACACGTGGTTGACTCGCCCGATCTCACGGCTGAGCAGAGCTGTTGTTAGAGCGGCGATGATGCTGCAGACCGAGCTGTCAAGCACGGCGCCGCTCGCCACCCGCAGCCTTGCCAGGACGAGCATACTCCAGATTTCGTAATAAAAGGGGTCACATTTGGGGGGGGTCTGATTTGAGCTGTCTTGGAGGGTTCGGGGGGGTCTGGGCAAAGGGCCGTCCTTTCATGGATGGTCTGGAGGGGCCTAAGGCTTCTCGTCTGGGAGGGTTGTGACCCCTCCCTTTTATTACGAAATCTGGAGTAATCAGATCAGCCGAGCTGTTGAATGTAGGGCGACGACATCTATACATATCCACTGCTCCCTGGCGAGGCCCATCCTGAACCCAGCAGCTGTGTATACGCTACGCCCTCCTGGCGTGGCCAAGAGGGCGTATGCACAACTCCTGGATTCAGGATGGGCCTGGCCAGGGAGCAATGGATATGTATAGATTTCGTCGCCCGAGAATGTTCTGAGGCCGTCTGCCGAGTGGCCGCCGGTGTCCCTCCCAGCTGGCCGAGGCTCGACCTCCGCGAGGCCACCCGCGAGCGGCCCGCCCCTCCTCTGCCGGCTCCGCCGGGCCTCGAGCACCAGCGGGGATGAGATAGACATATGTGGCGGTGTGTGCTCTGTCCGCGTGTCCGTAGGACTACACCCTGCGAAATGCTTAAGAAATCATGGGTTAAGAAACTCATAGTCTCAGAACTTGGATGAAAACCCAAGATTTCTATTCAAATGTTAGGATTCACATCGAAACATTAAGAATAATCGAGACTCTGGCCGAAAACTTAGGTTTTCTTAAGCATCGCCTAAGGTGTACCTCGAAAACACTCCAAATGAGGTCCGAATGCCCAAGATGGCCCCCGAGACGGCCCAAGAGGGCCCCGAGTCGCCCAAAGACCGGCCGAAAACGCCCAAGATGCTGAAGCCCTCAGCAGGTGGGTGCCGCGGCGAACCTCCAGCATCCACCATCCATTACCGAGTTCGGAATGCAACGATAAGTCACACTGATTGATTTGCGTTAGGCGTAGAGCCTACACCTGTCCAGGTCGCACGTTCAAGCTCAGACGTCCACATGACCCAAAGAGCACTGCTCGTAGCGATTGGGACCGTTGGCGTCTCATGCAGCGTAGCAGTCACCCTAAGCTCGAAGGAAACAGGGTCGAAATGTCGCCAATCGAATTCGACAATGCACATCACACGCCTAGTCACAGTGGGCCCTCAGGTACAGAAAATGATGCCGAGAGTACTGTGCTCTCGCATGTTGCTGCCACGCTCCGCCTCCCATGCGATGCTGGTGCCCATCTTGCTGGTGGGGCAAGTGGCGACTCGGATTAGCCATGCCCCTGTATATCTAGCCAGTCCAGTTGCAGCACTCTGTATGGCACGCCAGAGGATCTCCTCAAGTGGCCTTGCCCCGCCAGCTTCTGTCCGTGCTTCGTGTTTACGTGTTGTCTCCCTTCGCTTCTCGTGCTGCCCCTGGTGCTGTATCCATGGGTGGTAATGCTCAGCCTGCTGACTGATCTGACTGGCCGCGCGAGCCCTCGGGGCTCAGCTTGTGGCGAGGAAGGCACGATACAGGCTGTGCCTCTCTCCTACACCCTGCGAAATGCTTAAGAAATCATGGGTTAAGAAATTCATAGTCTCAGAACTTGAGTAAAAACCCAAAATTTCCATTCAACTCTTAGGATTTACATTGAAAAGTTAAGAATAATCGAGACTCTG